CATTTCTTCGTCTATCAGGTATATTAACAAAAAGTATTGGACGCGTAATTTTTCTTTATTCGCATAATCAAAACATTACTGAGATACGTTGATTTGAAATGTCGCATGACGTCACATTTTGGCACAATTTTAGCTAGTGACGTCATGAGCACCCACTCCCAAATCTGATTTTTTCGGTTTGAATGCCCTTCACACTTTTGGACTTTGCACCAAAAAACCTTGGTGTACCAGAAAAGCTGTTGTAACATGTGCATTAAGTTATACAATAGAATTTATTAGTATTTTGTATGCTCTTCCAAGGGCGAACATATGGAACTTTTTATATTATTTACCAGCTGTAACAAACTATGTTTCATGCAAATAAACTTACATTTCATTTCATTTCAATGACAAAAGAAAAAAATAGTGCGTTTTATATTTTGTTATTTAACTTACGAACTAAATAGAATTTTACATTTAAAACCTCTTCTCGAAAGTTATTTTTTATCTCATATAAGAATTAATTTAAGCGAAAAGGGCTTTCAGTGTGTTTATTATTCTTTTATTTAATACTCTGTGAAGAAGTCAGCTTTCTGATTAATTAGAGCACACTTAGTAACAAAGACTAATTATGCTTTGTTTGATTAATATTCTTCTTTACTTTTACTTCAAATGTTTTAGGTATTCCGTTGATTTATGAAAAGGGACTCGCTTCTTCATTGTTAACAACAATTTCTTTTATTCCTTATCTATCAATACAATAAGACCCCAGCCCGTACGCCATGGAGACCTGGAATCTTAATGACACAAACAACAGGAACAAAGAATAGTGATAATTTGCCGTTGTCTTGATTAAGGTGGAATTCGGATGGAATGTCAAATGTTATCAATAAATATTATATGTATACTAGCGGACCCGACAGACGTTGTCCTGTTTACACGTCTTTGTGAATCTAAACCATTCTCAGATCCCCTTGAACACACACAAAAAATTTCATCAAAATCGGTCCAGTCGTTTAAGAGAAGTTCAGTGACATACACACTCACAGAAGAATTATATATATAAAGACTAGTGGCCCGCCCTCGCTTCGCTTCGGGGTAGAATTGATGAAAATCCTTTCTTAGCGGATGCCTACGTCATAATATCTACCTGCATGCCAAATTTCAGCCCGATCCGTTCAGTGGTTTGGGCTGTGCGTTGATAGATCACTATGTCAGTCAGTCACCTTTGAGTTTTATATATATATAATTAAAAAAAACATTGTCCAGCGGACAAAATTGTGAATCTAAACCATTTTCAGATCCCCTTGAACACACACAAAAAATTTCATCAAAATCGGTCCAGTCGTTTAAGAGAAGTTCAGTGACATACACACTCACAGAAGAATTATATATATAAAGATTAAATGCTCTTGAACATTCCAGAAATCCCCATTAGTCTATATCTAAACCTGGCGTACATACTACTAGGCCACGCAGTTCGTGCAATGTAAATGTTATGTATTACAAATATCTATTTAAGGATTTTTTTTGAACCTACTTAAAAAAATACCACTAGTCAATGGAGTAGCGGAATTACAGGTTCGTTATGGCTTATCGGCTATTAATATTTAATGATATATAAGTAACTAGCTGACTCGGCGAACTTCGTACCGCCCAAAAGTAATAATTTGCAATAAATTAAAATTGCGACTATAATTTGAGATTTAAACTATCCTATCTCTCAAGTTGGATCGAACTGCACATGGTGTGCGAATTTTATTATAATCGGTTCAGTGGTTTAGGAGTCCATTGAGGACAAACATTGTGACGCGAGATTTATATATATTAAGAAAGATTAAGGTTAGTGAATTTTAGTAAATTGTGATGATGTGCACTGATTTAAAGGATGATATTTACGGAAGTTATAAACAACGATATTTAAGACTGCACTCAGAGAATTATTTTAAATGCTCGTCAAAATAATGTATTGTCTTATACTATCACAAAGAAAGTGGCAGAATTAACTTTTAATAAGACTGAAAGTAGCATCTCTGAGATTCATCACTACCATGGAGTCTTGTTAATAACGATCCATTGATAGAAGATTCTTAGAAATTGTCAACAAGACCAGCTTTTCATGTTAACAAGAACGGCGCAATAAGAGAAAATGTATCTTCCGTCGACCCAATCAAATACTCCTTACTCAATAAGTATATAAGATCAAACATTATATTATTTCATTTGGTCCTATTTTTACGATGCAAAGATTTCCTGAAGATGACCTTAATAATGAAATTAAATAATTATATTGAAAATAATAATATCACAATAATAAAAAATGTACAGTTTTTCAATTATTGCAATATATATTTAAATAATTTATTTATCAAGTTATAATAGAACACCAAATATGTATAAATAAATGCATATCAATTTTATGTTAATGATAAAAAATAATGAAATGTAAATATTTATTTAATGTTATGTCTATTTAATTAGGACAAATAATGAAATCTTTATATATATAATTCTTCTGTGAGTGTGTATGTCACTGAACTTCTCTTAAACGACTGGACCGATTTTGATGAAATTTTTTGTGTGTGTTCAAGGGGATCTGAGAATGGTTTAGATTCACAATTTTGTCCGCTGGACAACCCCTATTTTTTTAGGGCGGTACGAAGTTCGCTGGGTCAGCTAGTAATATATAAACATAATTATCACTTGTATTAAGTGTTACTATTGTTTGTTAGAAATTAAGAAAATTTGCAATGCCCTTGCAGTGCTCATGTTGTGAATCTTTATTTTAAATTTAAGAACCCATGTATGTACCAACATGAAGCAATAAAGATTATGATTATTATGATTCATGTCATTGAATTCCGGTCCCTCAGGGTCCCCTTCTATCTCCTACATACTTTCTGCTGCATATCAAAATATTTAATTCCTCTTGGGAATATTCATTGGCATGCAGACGATAGTAAAGTGCACGGGATATTTTGGACCGCAGCGGCTAGACGAGTGGAAACCAAGGAGAGCGCAAGAATCCTGTCACTAAACTCAATCAGGCTATAGACCACATTTCGGAATGGAGCACTAAGAACTTGGTATAGTTCAATGCTAAAAAAAACTCGCAGTTTCACGGCAGAAACGTCGCCATTCCTTCCCTTTCCCTCTCTCCAGGGCACAATCCTGGCCCTCATCATCAGCCTATTAATATCCCTACTGCTGGGGCACAGGCCTTCCCTATAGATGGAATAGGGAAATAGGGCCATGACCTACCACGCGGGCCTAGTGCAGATGCAGCCGGGACCAATGGCTTAACATGCCTTCCGAAGCACGAAGGAGCTCGAGATAGTAAATTTTTGGTCACCCATCCAATGACCGACCACTGCGAAAGTTGCTTAACTTCATCGATCGCAGCCGAACGCGCTAACCACTTGCGCCATCGAGCTCCTCTGTTTGAAATTTACTGTGAGAGAATTTTTTGCGCATATTGATCACCTACTTTTTCGATCTCCTTTAATAATACAATCAGAATTGTACATTTATAATTCAATTTCATTTAATCGGATTATTCATCGATTTCCAAAATAAACCAATACGTAATCAGATCACGGCAGATGTTAATTTGAATTATTCGCATAAACCTCTTTGGGTATAAAGGGCTTATAGAAAAAAATATATACTATCGAGTTGCTCTCAATCGGGCAGTCCTTTGCAACGTTACTGAATAAATATGGTGTATTACTTTTCCCGTGAAAGCCTTCCTTCTTCATTGAAGCGTACATTTCAATATTTCCACTTTACTCGTTTCACATTTCTTTGTGGAAGTAAGAAAAATATTTGGGTAGGCACCAGTTGGGTGCCAGTTACATTTTTATTATGAGTAGTGTTAAAAATAGAATAAGAAAGAACCTTTTAGCCAAGCGACTGTGATATGGCTATCACATTATTCGACTACCCAATAAAAATAAATCTATATCTTTATATATATAATTCTTCTGTGAGTGTGTATGTCACTGAACTTCTCTTAAACGACTGGACCGATTTTGATGAAATTTTTTGTGTGTGTTCAAGGGGATCTGAGAATGGTTTAGATTCACAATTTTGTCCGCTGGACCCCTATTTTTTTAAGGCGGTACGAAGTTCGCTGGGTCAGCTAGTCTATCTATATATATTAAACAAAAAGGTGATTGACTGACATAGTGATCTATCAACGCACAGCCCAAACCACTGGACGGATCGGGCTGAAATTTGGCATGCAGGTAGATGTTATGACGTAGGCATCCGCTACGAAAGGATTTTGATCAATTCTACCCCCAAGGGCATAAAATGGGGAATGAAAGTTTGTATGAAACTTTGTCAAATTTAAACCGATCGGGCTGAGACTTTGCATGCAGGTATAAAAATAATCATAGATGAATGTCATTGTGTATAATACAAACCTGAGAACAAAAACTGTAATCTCTGCTAGTAAAAAATATTTCCAACACTCACACCAATTAGCCCCAAAGTAAGCACTGTAGGCTTGTGTTATGGGATACTAGGGTAACGGATAGAATACATATACTGATACATATATATCATCATCATCAGCCTATTAATGTCCCCACTGCTGGGGCGCAGGCCTTCCCTATGGATGGAATAGGGAGATTGGGCCATGACCCACCACGCGGGCCCAGTGCGGATTGGTGGGTGCTAACGACTGCAGATGCAGCCGGGACCAACGGCTTAACGTGCCTTCCGAAGCACGGAGGGGCTCGAGATAGTAAATTTTTGATCATCTATAATCTGGGGAAATTTAAGAGAGGCGTGAAGAAGCATTTTTTCAGGCCGGCAGGGTGAAGATGTTTCATAACTGCTGTACCAGCTATCTTCACGTTTGGACTTTATCACCACTAAACATAAGGTGGGAGTAGAGTCCTTTGCCGCCCTGTCTATAAAAAAAAATGTGGCGATAAGCAATGGTGAATTCCCTTGATTCATATAAAAGATCACCCGGTAGCTAATATGTTTCTAAAAATATTCCTTCTTTTCAGATTATTCGAAGAAAACCAAGACCTCCTGAACATGTTCGAGAAGTTTCGTAATTATCGGACGAAGGAGGAGCAGATCAACTCGATGGAGTTAGCAGAGCACGCCAACAACGTTATGAACACTCTAGATGAAGGAATTAAGGGTCTGGACGATCTAGACAACTTCTTCGAATACATTCACCAAGTGGGGGCCAGCCATAGAAAGATACCAGGGTTCAAAGTGGAATATTTTTGGGTAAGTTTATGTTGCCCGAATATTTTATTATCTGTTGTATCTTGCCTGATATCTGCGGACTTAGTGAATTTTTACTATTGATTTGTTATTTCCCACACGAATTCAAGCACCCGCCAGTCTGAAAAAGTAACCGCCATCATACAAAAGCGAGTCAAAATAAAAAAATATTGTATATTCAGTCTGGTTCATCATCAGTTTATCCATAAGTCGCTGGTTCAAATCTAGCTGGAAGGACCATGTTCAAATCCCAAAAAGTCTGCGAGTTATATAGGTGAATAAAACACCGAGATCAATGGCAAAGTTTGTCTATTTCAAAATAATATTGAACTTAAGCGTATTCAAAACAAACTTAATACCGTGATTTAGAACAATCATAGAAGTATATAACAGTAACGCCATCCGTCGATGACTTTGAAAACTAAATAATATTATTACAAACTTAACATCATCAATTCATTTGTTTGCAAGTCTACGGCGGGAGACCTACTCTACCGAGGGTACTGAGAAAAATAGTGATAACCTGCTAAATATTGAGAAGAATAGTGATAACCCGCTAACTTTTGAGAAGAATAGTGATAACCCGCTAACTTTTGAGAAGAATAGTTATAACCCGCTCACTTAGTGTTGTATTTTTGTCGATGAGTAAGGTTCAAAGGGTCCATGGAGTAGAGGCTAGGATCTAAGGAGGTCTTAATAAATCAGTAACGCAACTGTCTAAATTCTATGGTAGCCGCTGACATACAAAGAATACTTTACAAAGCAAGACCACATATTTGCCTCACTCACCGAAGAATGTTATTTACATACGTTTCCGATACCTATGTATGGGATCGATTGAACCACGATTTTCTCCGAGTACATCCATTATAGTTCAAAGGAATAATCGCCCCTTCAGTATTCTTTTGATAAGTGACAAGCAATTTTCATATTAATATGTGTGTGGCAGGAAAATCCAATGACTACGATGTTGTTTTACTTACCATCGTTATAAGTAAACACATCGCTGTGAGTACCTCAGCTCAAAAAGAAAATATGCATATTAAACTTTAGTGAATTTTCCTTGACTTAATTTAGGCAGTTAAAATTAAATTTATCTTCTACTTGTATTCGTGCTTGACTCTCTTTGAGTGAGAATAGTATTTCAAGTTACTTTTTAAGAACCGGAATATTTTTACTAGCAATATCATTTGCTTTCATGTTCTTTATTTTAACTTTTAGTTAATTTTCCTCTGTAACATCTTAAACTTTCGCTTCTACGTCATAATGTCCTTCTTTACGGTACAAGCTACCCCCGGGATTCAAATTCATCAAATCTTTCGGAGCAGAAGCAACCGATCTTCAATTTGAAATTACACAAACTCAACCAGACATGCACACACATATACTCACATGGATACATACATATTAACGTCTTCACGCGTGCCGTGTCCCAAGTGGGGTAGGCAAAATGACGCTTCGAATGGCACCAGTTTCAAATCTGTTGGGGGGTGGGGACTTTACTTCCCATTGTCCTTTATTTTTGAGAACAATTTATTTTGATCTAACGCTTGTATTAGACATAATATTTAGTATATTATAACAAAACCTTCCCCGAATTTTTTTATTAACTGGTGGTGAAAACTGCATGAAATTTCGTTTAATAATATTTTAGGATGTCTATTTTTTTATATCTATAAATTACACAGAAATTGCTTTAAATGTCTAAGCAATGAAAATATAATAGATAACCCGATAGATAGCTACGTTATAAAAAACCGACTTCATTTCCCCTCCCGAAAGCTATCAAATATTCGATATCACATCCTCTTAGGGAAATTGAATTAGATTATTGGCTTCTAAGGAAAGTTGATATAAAATAAGGTAAGTGGGGATGTCAGCTGAAATATATGCAAAGGTGTTCAAAAGATTGAACGTATTTGAAGGTCCGTGAATAAATGAATGAATAACTTTATTGTACAGCATGAGATTGTAAATTACAATTAATTAAGACTATTACATTATAGTACAAACGGCGGCCTTATCGCTAAGAAGCAATTTCCTCCAGGCAACCGTATGTTAACTGGACTGTTACATAGAGAGTGGGAAGTAAATGGTGTCATTTAAAGTGAAACTACCATTAATAATACTTATAAATAATTATGTACAACAAAAAATTAAATAAAATACAAATACATAAACATAATATATCCATATATAAACACAATAACAATTTAATCATACTTTGGATGATGTGATGACTAGCAAAAGTGTCAAGTAATGTTCCTTTAACATTTTTTTAAAACAAGGTAATGTTTTAACACCTAAAATTTTTCCGGCAAAGCATTCCACAAACGAGCAGCCTGAACTACAAATGACTCGTCCATAAATTTCGTGGAGTGCATTTGAATCTCGAGTGTTAAATTCTCTGACGATCTCAAAACACGAGCATGTGTATCATGCAGGAAATTAGAATACAGGTCAGAAATTAAGGTCCATATTGCAAGCCCCACTTTTTTATATGATGCAGCAATTTACCCCTCTTCACCCGATGTTAGTGTAAGTGGAGTGGATCTTAAGGCTCCTCGTGGACTAGACGGCTGCGACAACGACTGACCGTAAAGCTGCCATAGCACTGGTCGTTTTTTTATTTTATTAATAAATAAACTCATTTAAAACATAAATGCTGTCGTATTTTATTGCAGAACGAAGCGAAGCGTTTTCACTGCCTTGTTCGCGGCCTAGCTGCATTTGTCTGATTGGGTTTAAATTCTACCCCGTAAAGACCTGGAATCTTACTGATATTTACACTATATAGAAACACAAACATCGAACGAAGAGCTTGCCAAACTATATAACTTTGATGTGATGTGCAAACCAATCTGTATCAAATAGCTATCAAAAGTGCCATTTTGTCTACCCAAGTATGTTTATCTTGTAGCGCAATCTTAAGTTTCATCTGACTAAAGTAAAACTTGGCGAGTGAACTTAAATATTATTCAGTAGACATTGGCAAGGCATCAAAATACAGATAAGAAGATGAAAGTTTCAATAGCCCGAGATCCGGCCCCAAAATTGAAAGCTAATTTAAATTAATGATAAGTAAGTGTGTATATGTCGTGGCCAAATCGTAGATTTGCTCACTTCATGAAATGCTCGAGAGTTTCATGAAATGGTCGCATTTCATGAAATGTTTCACTATCTATTGGCCACATCATGATGTGGTTTGGGCAGATCAATGATGAGAAATCGTTTCACGATATGGCCAACTAAACGCGTGGCTACTCATGAAATGGCAAAAATTATTTGATCATATTGTAAAGTAGTTACATTAATTACCGGTAGAGGCGCTGCAAGCCGTACCGTTTGGACCCTGGAAGAACAGTTAAGCCTACTATTGGTACATATTGTACCAAAGTACCTTATTAATTCTAATATTTGATAGTTTTCCAAATATAAATGTATAAGTTTACATGTTTTTTTTAGTTTACATGTTTGATGTTTAATTTAGAAAAAAAAAACTTTAATTTGTTTATATTGTTACAAAAATTTGATTAAATTTGTTAGTGTCATTCGGACTTAAATAACAATAAACAAGTTCTTACATATTCTGGATTTTTAACAAATATTTTATGGACCAAATCGTTAAATGTTGACGATTTAATGATTTGGTCAAATTAAGTTGCCTATATCATGAAATGTGACCATTTCATGAAATTCTCGAGCATTTCATGAAGTGATCAAATCTACGATATGGCCACGACATATACATTGCAGTGAGCATGGTTTGTTGATTTTTTTTATTTCATTAATTATTTTTTTTATGAAAATTGCATCTATATGTTTTTTTAGATAAAATTTACGTCATCTTAAAGGAAATAATGTGGAGAATTCTTTTTTTTTAATAGGCTAGTTGACTCATGTCGAATTGTATTAAAATTAAATGTTTATTTCTTAAAGTATTTGGTCTAAGGAACCTAAATATATCGATTTCACTTCATAAAAGCAGAATATTGCTGTAGAAATTTAATTTAAAAAATAATTTTTAGTCTACTTTTTAAACACTAAACGCGCAGTTCGGCACATCCGCCATGATTGTGATGTCTATTTTAGTAAACAACTAAATGTCATTCATACAACTTTAAAACTTGTATTATTAAAACTGATAATAAATGAAGAGACTTAAAATATTATTCAATGAGTACTTACATCAAAGTGATCTTCGCAAAAATAAACTTTACTATGAGTAGATAAAGTTGCAGGATCACTTTTAGCAAGTTCTAACCAGGTATTGCGTAGGTTAATTTTTTTCGGCACTTTAATCCACAACTGTCCTGGAGTCTTCAAGGATGTGTTTTTACATTCTCGTACAATACAATAATGATAATTACTATATTTTTCGTGGTATCTATTAGAAATCATGTTTTTTTTATTATAAACTCAGATAGGCTATTTTCTACGTGCTTACGAGTTTTTGTTTATTACCGTCGACGTCATAGCATAGATAAATCTATAGACTAAAATGGCCGACGAGCGTTTTTGTATGTCCATGAAAAGTCTATTTTAAAATTGAAGATTTGTAGTTTTCTAGGTCTCAAAAAAATACAATTCATTTTTTTCCGGTCTAATAGAACATTTATTAACCATTTAAAACCTTTTTCCAAAAAGGGTCAACTAGCCTATTATTCATGACCATGGATACTAGTCCTGCAATCGTATAAATAAATACAAATCTTAATCTACTTTCTTTCTTGGAGTCATCATCATCATCATTATCAGCCTATTAATGTCCCCACTGCTGGGGCACAGACCTTCCCTATGGATGGAATAGGGAGATTGGGCCATGACCCACCACGCGGGCCCAGTGCGGATTGGTGGGTGCTAACGACTGCAAATGCAGCCGGGACCAACGGCTTAACGTGCCTTCCGAAGCACGGAGGAGCTCGAGATAGTAAATTTTTGGTCACCCATCCAATGACCGACCACTGCGAAAGTTGCTTAACTTCAACGATCGCAGCCGAACG